CAGTGTTTAGCAGTGATTTGCCCGATTTTTAGCAACCAGATCTTCTGAAATCAAATATGTTGCCGGAAATGGTCTTCGCTTCAGTTCCAAGGCTTTCGCGCCAAGGCAACCTGCAACCCCTTGTAATGAAACGACCTGTCGCCTTCCTGAATGCTTCTGCTCTCGCACTGGTAAAAACAAATTCATACTTTACTGAAGTAGAGGCAGATAATTGTGCTTACAGGCCGAAAACCTCCTGGTGGCCTTCCTCCCAGCAGCATACCTCAGTTTGTAGTCCTCACCTTCGACGATGCCGTAAATGGGCGAACACTTCCCGACTACAGAGAACTGTTTGAAACCGTCAAATACAGGTAGATCTAGAGCACATAGCGGTTTTATTTTTTACATGGGTACAGTATGCTAGCGTACACCCCGCGATGCAAAGTAAAACACGTTAAAGACCCTTTCAGGAGCCAGGGAGACGCAGGGTTACGGTAGCATAGCTATGTCCAAATCTGTTTCCTTTTTGACATAGAAAAGGTTTTTATTTCCAGAAATCAGAAAAGGTTTTAATTTCCAGAAATCCAAATGGCTGTCCTGTAAAAGGAACTTTCTTCATATCTCACGAATGGACAAACTACGATGGTGTACAATGGCTTTTCCAACAAGGAATGGAGCTTGCATCTAACTCAATCTCGTACGTTTTGGTCCTTGACTTGGAAGACTTTTCATTCTGGCCCAGTGTCGTGTGCCAGCACCGTTCCCACACCTGTGCGCTATCCCGCTCAAAAGCACCGCACACGATCGATTGGTCAGGCACGAGCTTGGTACGGCGCTGGAACGGCGCTGGCATGGACAACTCTGGATGCAGCCTCACTGAGAGCACATTATCAAGTCTTTTTTTCAGGCACGTATCTTTGGAAGAAGCAAATGCTAATCGATGGCTGAATGAAATGGATGGACAACGTCGTATCATAGCCAAGTTCGCTAATGCTTATGAAGAAGAGATTGTGGGAATGCGTGCACCACAACTTGCCTTAGGAGGAGATGAACAGTTCGAGGTTTGTTCAACATTTTTTCCCTTCAGACATTTGCGTCACATGGGATGTTTACAGATGATGGCACGAGCTGGTTTCGTCTATGACAATTCTATGTCTGCAAATCCCGGAGTGAAGGGTGATCCATATTGGCCTCAGACTCTTGATCACTCAGTCCCATGGGAATGCTACGATGCTAATTGTCCAAGGAGGTAGTCAATACCACCGCTAGAAATTCAAAACTATGTATGATATGTCGAATTTAGCTCCTTCCCGGGTATCTGGACAATCCCCCTGAATCAGTTCTATGGAACGTATCTACCTCAAATTGACGGTTTCCGTAGATCGAGTATGATCCGTGCAGCTGTGGATTTGAATACAACTGTGGATCAATTGGTTCGTGTTGGGACTGTACTGTATTTTCTTAAATTGGTCGAGAAGGGATTTTTCGCGCATTATATATGTGCAGAAAATTCTCAAAAAAAAAGAACTAACGCGTAAATCGAAGCTGCTGCGTTCGGAGATGCCGTGCCAGCGCCGTGCCGAAACATTGGTCGATCGATGCGCGTGCACATTGACCTGGCACGGCGCCGGAAGTGCTCCGCTTTCTCGTATATGCTGCAGCGGTCCAGAAATTCTGCAAGTTTGAAAAGATGGAGAACTTTTCAGACAAATATGCTCTTCGCCAACTTTGATCGAAGCTACACAGCAAGTCGTGCTCCGTACGTGCTAGCCCTAAATGCGGACCTTCTCCAACTCAACGGCAAAAATACCGGCATGCAAGCATTGCAACGGTAAGAATTTGAGGACAATTGCTACTTGCCTGAAGTTATTGAATTCCTTTGTTTTCACAGATTTTTGGAGGAGGTTCTGTACAGAAAAGATGTCTATGTGGTTACACTGAAACAACTTGTGCAGTGGATGAAAAACCCCGTTCCACTGAGTCAAATAACACAGGTTGGGAGCTAAATTGATCTTTGAACTTCTCCATGTAATTCAAAAAATTCCCGTTTCAGTCTGAAGCCGTGAAATGTGCACAAGGCCCGTTGTTGCACCAATATCCGGCTATGTCGCAGAAATCATGTTCAAAACCGAACAAATGCATGTATCGAACGCCTGGTCTAAGTAGTCAGGAACATCAATTTCTTACTTGTTCACCTTGCCCCGAACAATATCCTTGGCTTGACAATCCAATTGGCAACATCACTCCTTGAAAGATGAGACTAGCTCTGTACTAGCAACTCTCGAAATTGCATGTTCATGAGCTTTTTGTAGTCGTCTAGGTCTGAATTGACACGAGCAATGTGTATAAAATGTACTATCGCTTCCAAGCCGGTGTCATTATCTCTTCTTGTCTTTCATTCTTTGATGCTTATTGTCTCTGCGTATTTTGTAATTTATTTCCGCTCAGCAAAGAGGGTATTAAATATTCTGGTGAAGACATTGTACAATGTATTTTGACGCAGACATTGCACAAGCCACGTCCAAGGTGGCGTCGCGGTTTTGGCCGCTCGCTATTCAAACAGAGATCATGATCAGAGAAGATGCGCAGACAGCGAAAAGGTAGCCATTTGCTTTGCAATTGGTCAATCAAGCATTTCGCACCCCACAAAGCCTAAAAGCTGAAGAACCAGTGAGACACTATGGAGCAATAAATATTGCTTGTAGTAATCCATTAAAAATGAAAAAGAAGGTGAAAGCACAAAAAATGTGGAAGAATACGAACATTTTGTTGACGAAAACGAGAAAAACGATGCTTGAAGCAGCAAGGTCCCCAAGCGCTCCAGCATACTGTAGCTTGGAACATAGCTTGTGCGGTTGCACTGCGTAGGCTTGATTGTATAGACTAGTAGTCGAACCCTTTTTCAATGGAATACGCGGTTGGAAGGGCGACCGCTCGTACCCGCGCCGCATCCGCGTCTCTCCCACGAGCATGCTCTCTGATCAACTCTCTAGCCTTGGCTAGGTCACGAAACCCCGCCTTCCAGCCGCTTATCTGGTTGAATCAAGGTAGCTGTGACGCTCAAAGTAGTGATCTAGCGATGTCAACATTTGCCAAGTATCCGCGTGTGCGCAAAATTCGCGAAAATGCGCTTTCTGGCCATTTTGCTCGCGCAACTTGCCAAAGTTGATAG